CTGCCTGAAGGGCCAGCCAGGCCGAGGAGGCTGCTCTTGCCAATGCTGAAGTGTGCCAGGGGCTGGCACTGCAGCATCTGCTGAGGCTGGCGTGGATACAGGCTAAGAATAGCCTGTTCCCGAAACCCTGGTTTGGTGCCTGAGTTTCAGGGCCGGTCAYTCTGGTGAACGACCGAAAATAGCCCTTCGTTTCAGGCTAAAAAGGSTCTTGCCATTTTTAGTTTGAAACGACACAGGGACTGTAGGCCCCTGTTTTCAGGCTGARTTCTAGGCTTTTTGGCTGAAGGGCGCAGAGCCTGGAAAATGGCCTGCGTGTGCAGGCGCAGCATGTAACATAAACCCAAGATTCATGTTTTATGCGAGCAACGCAGGCAAAGTCTTTTTTTTACTTTTTATAGTTTTTGACGTTTAACTCCAAGTTTGGTTACGAATTCTGACATGAGTCTGAGGCAAAAGTGGTTTGCATTGTTATTCTGCAGAACATAATTTTTTTTCAGAAGGTCACCTCAAGATCAGTTCTTTACCATTAGCAACCACCTGAATGTCTCCCAGCTTGGTGGAAATTATCGATACCCGCCCTCCTCCTCCTCCGCCATATCCCGCTCCTCCAGCTGCACTCACCCGGCCTGTTCCATTGCTCGTGCTGCATCCATGGAACAGTTCATAAACATCAATCAAGCATTACTCTTTCTATATATACATTTTTTAAGTTATGGTCCAGAGAAATTCTTGATGCAAAAACTCAATCTTTGAGACAATGCCATCCACAGCCAAGCAGAAAGAAATGGAAAAGACAATGAAGAAGAAGCAGTAGCAGCAGCAGCAGCAGCAGCAGAAGCAGCAGCAGAAGAAGAGGAGCAGCAGTAGCAGCAGCAGCAGCAGCAATAGTAGTAGCAGTAGCAGTAGCAGCTCGCAGCCCGTCAAGGGGGAGTTTTATACCCCTGAGTCAATTTTGTCGTCCTTCGTTGCCGTCCATTCAGGTCCAAAGGGTAGTTGGAAGGGCGGTGAATTTGCTGGGGGGACAATTCATGAGGAACGGGCAGTTGTTTCTTGCAGAGGACAGGTAGCTGCTGCCCGTAGGAGGCCGAGGAGGCCACCGTCCTTGAGTTGATCATTTCGAAATCGAAACGGCATGGGTCCTCTTTTCTCGAATAGAAGGGTGCCTCAAATAGACAGCGTACGCTTTGTATTTGAAAACAACGCGTACCTTTTGTATTCGAATTTGGAAAAGGAAAAACTCTTGTATTCGAATAGAACATTGCCTTTTCTCTTTTTTTTTAGGCTAGTACCTGCCCTTGTGCTCCCCGCCACTGACATGCTGCAGGGCTCTCTCTCTCTCTCTCTCTCTCTCTCTCTCTCTCTCTCTCTCTCTCTCTC